TTATTTCTGAAGACTGTACTGCATTTAAACCTCATCCCCTCAGCTTAGCACTATCTGCAAGACTGACTATCATACTCTGCATATCATCATCATCCCAGTCACTGATGAAAATACTGACAAGTGCCCCACAGCACCCCATTCAACACTCCTCCATTCATCTGAATGGAGCATTAACACAATCTTTTGTGTCTCTAGTCTACTCCTCAAAACAGCTATATGCTAAGGATTTTCTAGAGACTTCGGCTATCCCAAAGCCTGTGGTAGCAAGTATTCTGACTAGTTATCTACTGCAGTGGTTCTCAACCTTTCCACCAGACAACTGCACCCCTTTCAGGAGTCCAATCTGTCTTGTGTAGCCCCAACTTTCACCTCACTTAAAAACTACTTACTTACAAAATCAGACAAAAATACAAAAGTGACACAGCACAGTAGTACTGAAAAATTGCTTATTCTCATTTCTACCATATAATTATACAATAAACCAACTGGAATATAAATATTGTACTTACATTTCAGTGTATAGTATATAGAACAGTATAAACAAGTCATTGTCGGTATGAAATTTTAGTTTGTACTGACTTCGCTAGTGATTTTTATGTAGCATGTTGTAAAACTAGGCAAATATCTAGATGAGTTGAGTACCCCCTGGAAGACCTCTGCGTACCCCTAGTTGAGAACCACTGACCTAGTGGATGATATATAAGGGGTCGCTGATAAAACTTACTGCACTGCAATATCAATGAGACTGCAAGCAACCTTCTGTTCCTTGGTTCATGCACCCTGGAATATATTCAACTACAATTAGGATAGTTTTAATTTCTAATCTTCTCTAAAATGACCTTAAATTTGAGATTAGCCTGATCTAGAGCATAGAACAAAGAGGATCCACTAGCTACTGTTAGTCACATCTGGACTACTTTACCTGGTCAGCTTGTAGAGCACATTTTTCAGGTAAGATGTGATCTAGTATTACTATACCTCTTTCACAACTAAGGGCAGGAAAGTAGCATTCCGAGATATTATACTAAGATTCTTGTTACACTAAGGCCAAGTATACACTACAGACCTATGTCGGTATAACTATGTCGTATAACCCAATGAGCATGTAGTTATACCGATCTTAACCTCCTGTGTAGGCAGCGCTACGTCAACAGGAGAGCTTCTACCATCGACATAGCTATTGCCTCTCGGAGAGGTGGATTAACTATGCTGATCAGCATAAGAGTGTCTTCACTTAAGCGCTACAGCGGCACAGCTACACCAATGCAACGTTTTAAGTGTAGACCTGCCCTAAGATAAGAAAAACTAGTCATTAAAAATGCAAACAAGGGAACAAGAATGTCATCACAAGACAAGTTCCCACATCTCTCGTACAGAAACCTGTTAAGATTTGTAGTCACAGTTTCTTCTCTTAACCTAATCAGAGTAAAGAGAACAGTCCATAGGAAAGGGGAGAAATTGACAACTTCCTACCAAAGAGAGAGCAGCATAATAATTCTGTATTCACTGCACTATTATACCTGGTGAAAAGCATTTGCCCTCTTAAACCCTATTCCTACAGCTGGATTAATAAAACAGATATTGTCATGAAAACTTCTCTGTGAGGGACTTCTCTTATTAAGCAAGTTTTTAAATAGGTATGTGTAGTTTATCTATAACTGCAGCATTTAAATAAAAACTAAGAATTGAAATAGAACCTTTATTATGAAAAATGATGCAAAATATTTCTAGTAAGAATTAATATGCTGAAAACCTTTGATTTATTTAGAAAAATCAAGTTTATTTTATGATAAAAAATATCTGCAATTGCATCAAACTTCTGGGGTCCTTGTCTCTAAATTTCTGTGAACATTTTGTCCAAATGCAATGCTTCTTATTAGATCAGTCCCATAGATGAAATGAGAACTACTCATGGTAGTACATTCTACAGTCAAACAGCACTAGTGTTTGTATGACTGGCTCTTTAATGCACTTTTAAAGGCAATGACAGAAACAAACATGTAGCTTCACTTTTACATAGAAGTTTCAACCTTGACAGTCGTCATCTTATTTTAAATAAGCCTTTTTTGTTGCTTTCATTAAACACTGAAAAACAACTTTCACTGAAACTGCCTCAAGATCCTATTGTCTTGTTGTAGGCCAGACGTGGGCAAACTATGGCCCACGGGACCATCCTGCCCGGCCCCTCCCCTGCTATCTCCCCTTCCCCGCAGCCATGCCACCGCGTGGGCCACGCTCTGGCCCACCGCTCCCGCTGGGCAGCATGGGGAGCGCAACTGGCTCTGGCTGAGTGTCGCGGCTGTGAGCTCCTGCTGCTGGTAAGGGGGCGGGGGGGGGTTGGGTAAGGGGGCAGGGGTCCTGGGGGGCAGTCAGGGAGCAGAGGGCAGTTGGATGGGGCGGAGGTTCTGGGGGGGCAGTCAGGGTGTGGGGAACAGAGAGGGTTGGGAGTGGGAGTCCCGGGGGGGCTGTCAGGGTGTGGATAGGCGTTGGGATGGCACTCAGGGACAGGGAGCAGGGAGGATTGGATAAGGGGGTGGGATCCCGGGGGGCAGTTGGGGCGGAGGGTCCCGGGAGGGGGTGGTCAGGTGACGAGGAGCAGAGGGAGGTTGGATGGGGGTGGGAGTCCTGGGGGGCTGTCAGAGGGCAGGGGTATGGATAGGGATTGGGGCAGTCAGGGGACAGGGAGCAGGGGGGTTGGATGGGTTGGGGGTTCTGAGGGGGGCAGTCAGGGGGCGGGAAGTGGGAGGGGGCAGATGGGGGCGGGGGCCAGGCTGTTTGGGGAAGCACAGCCTTCCCTACCCGGCCCTCCATACAGTTGCGCAACCCCGATATGGCCCTCGGGCCAAAAAGTTTTCCCACCCCGTTGTAGACGGCAGTCATTTGCTGTAAAATATCAACACACTTTCTATGTTACCCTCATAATGGAACAATATGCCATCATAATTTGAGTGAAAGCCTCTCTCTCCCTGGCTTATCTGCATCTTCATCACCTTGAAAGTCCAGCACAGTAGTCTCATTTGTGTGTCTGAAAAGATACTTGCTCTTATTTGGATTGGGAGCCAAGAAAAATCTAACCGAATTCTGATCTGCACTCTGGGAACAGATTCAAAACGACGGCAGGTGAAAGATGAGTATTTGTGATTTCTATTCCTAGGTTTTCTCAAACGCTGAAGAGTTCTAGTGAACAATACTGAATTTATATATTTATGGAAAAATTATTCTATAATAATGTTGAAAGAGCTCTAGAAATATTTAAAAGTATTAAAAATAAATCAATAGGAATTACTTTTCATTAACATACAAAAAAATCTGTTATCCTTTTTAATTTATCAGACCCCTTATAGCAGTGGCTCTCAACCAGGGGTACAAATACTCCTGGGGCTACACAGAGGTCTTCCAAAGGGTACATCAACTCACCTAAATATTTACCTAGTTTTACAACAGGCTACATAAAAAGCATTAGTGAAGTGAGTACAAACTAAAATTTCATACAATGGCTTATTTATACTACTCTATATACGTTACATTTCAGTGTAAGTACAATATTTATATTCCAATTGATTTTATAATTATACTGTAAACATGAGAAATTAAGCAATTTTTCAGTAATAGCGTGCTATGACACTTTTGTCTTTTTATGTCTGATTTTGTAAGCAAGTAGTTTTTAAGTGAGGTGAAACTTGGGGTACGCAAGACAAATCAGACTCCTGAAAGGGGTTAGGGTGACCAGACAGCAAATGTGAAAAATAGGGACGGGGGTTGTAGGTAATAGGAGCCTATATAAGAAAAAAAAAACCAAAATTGGGACTGTCCCTATAAAATCGGGACATCTGGTCACTCTAAGGCTACGTCTTCACTACCCGCCGATCCGGCGGGTAGCAATCGGTCTATCGGGGATCGACTTACCGCGTCTCGTGAGGACGCGGTAAAATCGATCCCTGATCGCTCTGCCGTCGACTCCGGAAATCCACCTCGACAAGAGGCGGCAGCGGAGTTGGCGGCAGCGCGGTAGCGGTCGACTTTCCCCCGTCCTCACCGCCAGGTAAGCCGACCTAAAATACGCAACTTCAGCTACGGTATTCACGTAGCTGAAGTTGCGTATCTTAGGTCGGAACCCCGCTGTAGTGTAGACCTAGCCTAAAAGGGGTACAGTAGTCTGGAAAGGTTGAGAGCCACTGTCTTATAGCATCATAGTTTTAGAATGGCTTATACATACAACTGGAGATCATAGCTTTTATACAGTAGTATATTGTTATAAGCTCCAATTAAACATCAAATGATGTACAAAGTACTTTTCAGATGAGTGCACATGTTTAACTGTTCAAATACTTGTTAAAGATCTCACCAGCATTCAAACTTCTTTATTTTAATTCAATTCTAGGTTGCCAGGACACTGTCCAACTGTGGAGGCTGCAGAATTTAAATCCCATGGCACCTCATTAAAGGATGTGTTTATATAATGTTTTGAACAGCATTGTTCAGTAACACAAACAGTGCTGGGATGCTGAAGGCCTAAATGAAGTAAAATAAACTTTTAAAAAATAGTTAAAAGTCTATTTAAAAAGAGACATCTTCCAGGGCTGCTGCATGGGATTTACCTTTTAAACAGTGCCAATGTGAAAATATCAGACTGGTGCAGAACCCAAATGCCAAATGTATGTTCCCTTGGCAGAAACAGCTCTAGTAAATGATATGTTGGGGCCTGATCCTGCGCTGTTTGAACACACCCCAACTTCCCCACATTTCCAAGGACTTCAGTAGA